TGATTATTTCCTTTGTAATATTAAAATTGTGATCATTACACCTGAAATAATACCTACCTGATCTGCTGTACATTCATTTCCCCTTGTATTCTACGGTGGTAGATCCCTCTCTGTCTGTCACTCCCTCCACGCTGTCCCCAGTTCCCTTTTAAGGCAGCAGTCACTATCTACCTAAATCCTCCAGTTCCCACATCCCCCCACATCCCAGTTCCCTCTACCTGGAGCCCCACACTGCTTCACCCTGACCTCCCATCATACCACTAGCTCTGGCTGGATCAGACCCTCTGGCCTTGCTGACCCTGCATCTGTCCCCCTCATTCCCACCTCCAGGCTCTGCCCAGTTCCCTGCCTGGCCTGCATCGCATTGCGGGAACACATCTCCCACCGCAGGCCGGCTGGTCAGACTACCAGGAACTCATATCTGAGTCCAAGACCATCATTCCAGAAGGACAAGGACAGAAAGTGCCCCTGGGGCCAGCATGGGACTACACAGAGGAGGTGTCCACTGTCAAATTGACTCATTCAACTAGTATTTGAGTACCTACTATATGCTATGTTCTGGGCTAGGCCCCAAGTGTGCAGGGCGCTTCAAAACAGAGTCGTGCCCTCAGAGAGCCCCCAAGAGCACTGGGGTGGGGCTGGGGCCACCTCATTCCCCAGGGGGATGACTTCAGCTTGATACTAAGAGCTAGGAAGACCACAGGGGCTGCCTGAATAGGTCAGGCAGGCCTTGTTGAGAAACGTGATGTTATACCCGTCTGACAAGCAAGCATGGCCCCGAGGCAGCTGGGGATGTTGCTCCAGAGAGAGGGCAAGGCGTGTTCAAAGGCCTGGAGGTAGGGCCAGCTGAGCGGTGTCAGGAACAGGAATGCCCCTGGAGGCCCAGCAACGCGCTCAGCGGCGCCATCTGAGGCCAGGCGGGGCCTGCTCCTGCAGGCCTTGGAGGCTGCGGGGAAGTTTCCGGATTTTATTTTAGATGCCACCAAGGGGGGGCGCCACCTTCCTCCCTTTATGGTGGCAAAAGAGGCCCAGAGAAGGCCAGAATCCCACCCGAGGCCACGCAGCAGGCCGGTGCTCAGCCGTGGGCGCCTGGTAGCTGGATCCCACTCACCGCCGTTTCTCCGCAAACTGACGCGGGCGGGGCGGGGCCAGAGCTCGGCCTCCCGCCCCCGCGCCCGGACTGGGCCCCTCTGGGCTCCGCCCTCCTCCGAGGGTGACGCGGCCGGGGGCGGGCCCGGGGCGCGGCGGCCCGACTGTCTCGGCGGCGGCGGCGGCGGCGGCAGCTGAGCGAGCGCAGTGCGGCGCCACCATGGGGGCCCAGCTGAGCACGGTAGGCGGCGAGGGGCGCCGGGCGCGGGGCTCAGCGTCGCTACGGACCGGCCGCGAAGAGCGGGGCCTGGACGCGGGGGCCGGGGCGGCGGGGCGTGCGGGGCCACACCCCTGCCCGTGGCACCCCCCCACACCCCACCCCGGGCCGGGTGTGGTCGTGCAGTCGTGACGCGCCCCCTGGCCTCTGTCGCTGGACCCAGCCCTCCTGCCCCAGCAGTGTGCGAGAGGCGGGCACCCGGAGGCGGCCCCGCCCGCCGCCCTCATCCCTGCGGGCTCGGGAATGGGGCGGAGGAGTGTGCGAGCGAGCGAGTGTGCGAGTGTCTGGGAATGGGGAAGTTTGTGTGCGACTGGGACAGTGTGTGTGAGTGAATGTGACTTGTGAGCGAGTGTGGCTGCGCAAGCGTGAATGTGTGAAATGTGAACTTGAGTGTGCATATGTATGAATGAATGCACGTGAGTTTCTGAGAGTGCACATGTGACTGTGACTATGAAGTGTGCGTGAGAGTGGGTGTGGGTGTGAGGACAAGACTGAGTGAGATGGAATGTGTGACCGAGCGAGCAGGTGTGTGCGAGTGGGAGTTGTGTTAGAATGTGAATGTGTGTATCTGTGAATGTGAGTGAAAGTGTATGTGTGTGATGTCCCTGGATGGCAGGGTTTTTAGGCATCTTTTAGCAACAACACAACCTCTGGGCCCTTCTCCCATTAACCCCCGGAAGCTGTGCTCTTAACCTAGCTAGCAGACTTGGGAGGCCTGTGCTGCTGGCCATTTTACAGATGAAGAAATCCAGTTCAGACTTGGCCAGTGACCTGTGGCTGAGCCTAAATTTGTGGGGCTCCAAAGTCCACTGTCCTGCTGTCACTGTTGGGTGGGTCCAGGGCTGCCCTTCCCTGCCCCAAGGCCCACCCACCTCCTCGCTGGGATTTCTCAAAGCCACAGTGGCTGGGATGGGGCTGTAGCCAGAGGGCAGTCCCCCACCCACACACACTCTGGCCCCATAGTGCTGGCTGGGTGAGGGGTTGGCTGGCACTGGGAAGATTAAGCCCAGTGCCTCCACCTCTACCCCAGACTCTTTGGACCTGGACGGATCCTGCCTCCTCCCTCTGACTCTGTGAGGCTCCTCCAGGACGAGGCAAAAGGCCTCCTGGCCTGGTGTTTACTCATGAACGTGCGGCCCAGCCCAGGACTCTGGGGATGTTCAGACCAGGGGGCAGCCTTGCCCAGGGCGAACCTGTGGGCGTCACCCCTGCCTCAGCTTAACATCCTGACTGTATTCCCAGAAATTACCTCCCTTCTTCATTGCTCAGCCCCGACTCCCACCCCTGCTCTTTTCCCATGGTGCTTCTCACCTTCTAGCCAGCGTTGATTGGATTTGTCACTGGGTCCCCAGCATGTGCTGCTCCTTACATTGTTGCTGAACAGCCAAGGCCATCTGGTAGCTCCCGCCTGTGAAAGGCAGAGCCCTGTGTGGGAGGCAGGAGACCTCATCCATCCAAGGGGTGGGCCTTGCTGGATCTCCGCTTGGCCCAGAAGACCCACAGCAGACCCCAGCCAAGCTGCCTGGCCCAAGGGCTCCATGCAGTCTGTGGGAGGCCAGCTCGGGCTGGCACAGCAGCCATCTTATCTGGGACATGCAGACTCCAAGGGAGTTTCTCCCACACCCTGGAGGACCCAGCCGAGGGGTTGGCACTTGAGCCTGCCAGCCACTGGGGGAACATTGGGGGCTTGGCCTGCCGTCTGGACTGTGGCTCTCCTGCCTCCAGCACAGCTGCGAGTGCTCAGTGGACCCTGACAGGCCACCGCCACAGGTAGAGTCCAAGCTTTTCCACTGTCCCTGGCAGCTCTGTGCTTCACCTGTGGCCCCTGGGAAGCAGGGCCATGTCTCCCCTGCAGAGGACGGCTCTGATGTCCACCTGCCCCTCCTCCTGTTCCCTCTCCCACAATTGCAAACCAGGGCCCCCCCCTTATAGAACTTCCTCTACACCCTCCCACTTCCACCCACTTCCTGAGGGAGGTGGCTGCTCAGATCCCAGCGGGACAGCTGGCAGGCAGGCAGCAGTCAGGTAAGCCTCAGCACATGGAGCTGGCACCTAGAGAGGATGGGTCTGCCAGGTGGGGAGTCCTGGCACATCCCCCTGTCTACCCAGACCTGACCTGGGCAGAGTGAATGCCAGGGTCTCCGTGGGGAATTCCAGGGGATGAGGTGAGCAGCTAGGCAGGGCACCCCGTCAAGGGAAGCAGGGTTACCCAGCCCCTCAGCTGTGGTAGGTGAGCTGGGGGCTCCCTGGAGACATCCTGGGACTCTGGCAC